AGCATTCCAACCCTACAAAGTAACTCCTCACTTTAAGTCGTCCCGGTTAACGTTGTTCGTTGTTACGTTGCTGATCAATTAGGGAACATGCTCATTAAAGTTGTGCAATGCTCCACGCATGTGAGATACCAGCATTCAATTGAAGGTCCTAGCCAATCATTACCTAAACCAACAGGGATTGAAGTGTTGTGGAGATATCATGCTTGGCATCTTGACAGGCGTTAGGGAGTTCCCCAGCCAACTCAGCAGCAACTCTTCAGCTGACTGGGGAGTAGGACAGCTGAGGGAGTTGTAGCCAGAACAATGAAAACTCACTAAAGCATGGGGAAAATGGAGCAGTCCTCACTATATCTTCATGGATGTTAAGACTTCCTTAACAGGATGGACTTCCTCTTCTTTCTTCAGTGGGAAGTAGGGAAATTAAAATAAATGTTGCTGTGTTTTAGTTTGAATGATGATGATATTCTAATCTGTTCAAAGTGGATTTTCTCCAACACCTCTTCTGTTAACTGATGCAGCTAAATCTTTTCTGTCATACAGGTGAAAAGTGCAGTAAAAGTCAAAAGCTTGAGAGAATGTGCAAATGATGTTGTCATCTCATTACCACTCTATTCTATTAACTAGCATCAGCATAATGCAATATTCTCTTTGTGCTGTAAAGAGCTGTTAATAGAGTTCCAAGTGCTGGAGCCATACATCATTCATAGACAGTACTGTAAAAGGCAGTCATATCATTATGTACTCATAAATGTGACTCTAGAAATTCTGAGCAGATTCAGAAGAAATATTTCCACTCTGGTTGCTTTATATTTAGACATGTAATGGGAGCAGTAGATCTCTGAAATAACCTTGAAGAGTTTTTCAAATTAATAGAACAGTTGCGAGGATCTTATAGAAGAATAAGATGCAATAGTCTATCCAAGAGATTGTTTCAAGATTGAGGTTCAGACAGCTTTGCAACGTTTGATTTATATCCTGAAAAAGTAAACTGGAGCACTCTGTGAATACTTGATATATCAAAAGCTTAAATGTAAAAAAGTGGTGGGTATATGTTTCCAAGCTCATCTAATGGGGTTTTATTTTGTATGCTGCTAGCAGCCTAAACCACATGGAATCAGAAACTGGTCAGTGATCACAGCACTGTCAAAGGTTTTAATTTTTGCCATATGCTTAACATCTGTGTGAAGAAAAGTTGGAATAGCAGTGGGTTCTGATCAGGCCACTCTCATTCTGGACTGCACAGGTGTGTTCAGGCTCATATCTCCTCCAATTGAGGGGGAAAAAACCTATTTTTCATATCCAGTCCGTCAGCAACCTCTCCCATTTCCCCTCATCTGAGCTGTTTCTCTGCTGGACTCAAATGCTCATCCCCTTGCACTCTACTAGCCAAACCCCCTTAATAGGCCAGTTTCCAAATCCTCCTCCTCCTCCTCCTCCTGTCCTGCCTGGGGAACTCAGTTGGCATTCTTTACATGGGGATTCACCCATCTCATCTTAGCCACATGGCCTCAGCAGTCATATACCTCCTCCTCTTGAGTCTTTGGTCTAATTGTGAAGCCTTCCTCCACCCCCTGCTCCTTTGGTATTAAGTGACACTGCCTGTGCTATCCTGAGGGGGAAGATCAAGGTGTTCTCCTGTTCCTGTGAAGAGGTGAGAATGATCTTCTAACCAAAACTAGAGTGTTTGCATGGAATGGCATGGGGAGAACCATATCCACGGAATTATTTGAGACAGCTTTTCAGGATAGGAGGTCCTTGTCTTTGTAATTACTGTACAGCACCAAGCACATGTTTGGTGCTAAACAATATACATTAACCCATACTAGGGTTTTCTCTCTCAATAAAGGAAGAGGTTCCAGGAGTGATAAATGGTAAGTACGGTTCTCTGTTCATAAGTATATTGAAACAAGTCCTGGCTCAGATCCAGTATCAAACCTTCACCTTCTAATGTTGTGCACAAGGTGCATGGACACTAATAACCACATATCCTGGAGCTACCTACGGTATAGAAGAAATCTAGAAGAACAGCTCTGACCCCAGACATGGCAATTGAACTTCCAGACTAAAAGATGTGTAAGATGCATCAAACAAAACTAATGGTATGGTGAAGTCTTGTAGCAAATTTTAAAAACTGCATACGTGATTGGAAACAGTATCATTATATGTTGAATGGCTGCTTTCCTCAGTGGAAGGATTAATGGAGTCTTCACAGAGGGCCTGGTATTAGGTCCATTATTGTTTCTATTGTTGAACACAGCATTTCTCAACATTTTCTGTACTATGGCTGCATATTACAACAAGAAAAGTTTTGGGGCACTCCTTCCACCAACCATAAAAAGGGGATGTGTCGTGATCCCTAGATTAAGAAACCATAGCTTGACATACTATTTGAGCATGAAGTTGATAAATTATCAGATGGAATTAGCACTAACATGATAGAAAAACTTACCCAATAAGCACTTAACGGGAAGGATTAATATTAGGTGATTGACTCCACAGAGTCTCAAGGTTCCTTTCCACACCATGTTCATACATTCCCAGCGTGTGTACCTTGGTAAATCCACCAGTCTGCCCTTTTTGAGATAAGTGACAATGTAAGTGTCTGTACATCTGAGAACCAAGGCTAAACGGGTGGATGAGAGGAAGCACTAATGGAGCAATACCTTCGAGTAAAATAGTTGAGTTAAGGCTGGATCAAAAATCACTTACTGCAATATAACTTCAGTATGGGATTTCACCTTAAAAAGAAACATCCTCTTTCTGTTGCAGGATCAAACTTCTCTAAGCTTCAGCTCTTTCAGTAACAAGTTTAATTTGTTTGGCAAACTGATTGCTTTTTCCTGGTTTAACATCACCCCTGGAAATTAATTAAACTCTGTGAAACTTAACAAGAGGTGGTAAGTTTTTGAAAAATTAGATATTGCAAATACCTTAATTAACTTATCATGACTTTTCAGCTAATAATTGATAAAATGTAATTATTAACAGACTCTCTTGCATGATGGGCAACAAGCATGACAGCATTATGCTGTAATCCTGCTGACAAATAGTGGGTTTACCTGCTATTTGATTCCTTTTAGCATTCCAACCCTATAAAGTAACTCCTCACTTTAAGTCGTCCCGGTTAACGTTGTTTCGTTGTTACGTTGCTGATCAATTAGGGAACATGCTCATTTAAAGTTGTGCAATGCTCCACTCTTACGTTGTTTGGCTGCCTGCTTTCTCCACAGCTGGCAGCCTCCCTATGCGCCCTCCCCCCCCCCCCATAGCACCTGCTGGCAGACCCCATGGATCAGCGCCTCCCCCCGGATGGCAATCAGTTGGCTTGCGGCGTTTCGGATCAGGAGGGAGGGGGAAAGGAGCGAGGACTCGGCGTGTAGACTCCTCCTCCCACCCCTGCCTTGAACGCCACAAGCCAGCTGATTGCCCCAGGTAGGGGGGAGAGAGGGTGAGCCTGTGCCGAGTCCTCTCTCCTCCCGCCTCCCTCCTGCCCCCTAAATGCCGCAAGCCAGCTGATTGCCCCAGGCAGGAGGGAGGGGGAGGAGCAAGAACTCCGTGTGCAGGCTCCCCCTGCCTCCTGCTGGCGGCAGTCAGCTGGCTTGTGGTGTTTGGAAGGGAGGGGAGGGAGGGGG